AAGTGGTATCAACGCAGAGTACTTAATCAAATATAAGAAAAATTAGGATAATGGCTTTTCTGGATTTTATCGCGCAGTTTCTAGATTTTTTAGAATTTTTGCTCGAAAATTCTGAACTTCGGATGTTTTCGTTCTTTCATTTTTATCTCTGCAATCTGAGCATGCTGGAAAGTCGCCAGGAGACTTTTGGAAACTACATGCTTTACGCTTTCTAATAAAATTTAAACTGCTTAAAAAGGTTATGATCAGAGGTGCGATAGGTGGAGCCGGGCCCCCCAAAAGTGAAGGTGGTTCCAGCTACCACTGGCCGGCCAAAAGTGAAGGTGGTAGTGCCGGACACTCACCTCCCAAAAATGTCGACCGGGGGGGGGGTGGTCGCAGGCTACCACTGGCCAGCAAAAGTGGGTGGTAATGCTGGACACTCACCTCTCAAAAACGTTGACCGGGGGTATAGAGGGGGAGGGTAGGGAGGGGGGGGAAGCATAGAACTGAGCTATCCTTTCACGTCGTTGCCGGCCGCGAATGCCTTCACTTTTGGGTTTTGATTTTTTTTGCTGAAACTGAAAAAAAGGAAATTAAGCAAAACGAACGCAAAAGAAAGTATTGAGAGCATATTCTATGTAGTTTACTTTTAGGAAGTTGCCGTCGCCCACTGCGGCACCTGGAGGCCATCACCGACATGGACGCGTATACGCCTCAGCACTTTCTCCGATAGAGCAAAGCTTCATGATGACTTCGGATAAATGAAGAGCTCTAACCCAACGGCCCTCTTTAGGGCCACAAATATGATGAACGCAGCGGCATAAATATTCGAAATAAACGTGTCAATGAAATGGTGTATTTTGAAGTGAAACTCAACGACACTCTACAGATTTTATTAAGTAAATTTAGCTATGTCGTATTGCGAAGAAAGTAGGTCGATCCAGGAAGTATTTGCCGAGAACCAGAATTTTGAATGAAAAAATAACCAGAAATCATGCAAAATTGCCGCTGTCATAAACCAAGTGGTTGAAGATGTCAGCAACTGCGACTTCATAGGTTTCAAAGGGTAAGTGTTGCTCTAACAGATAGTGAAAGAATCGAGTCGATTTGAGCAGTGGTCGCTGAGAACGAGAATTTTGAAAAATTAGGCGATTTTAGGCTAATTTTTGACTGCTGACATTTGAACTCCTAAAACTCTTGATTGTGAAGATGTGTGATGTTGCGACTTCATAGGTTTTCTAGAGTAAGGTTTGCCCTACTAGAATATATCTTACCCGTACCAATTCATCAAAGCACCGCCGAGATCCAGGCTCTTGAAAAAGCAGGTAAAAAACAGCTTTTTGAACTTCAACAGCTCGTAACTTCTCCAGAACTGCATGAATCATGTTGCGACTTCATAGGTTAGATTCCTCTCATCAAGGGCTTTCAGATGATATATGATATATGGGGGTTTGGGGCCTTCTTCGACGTATGACCGGGGGGGGGGGGAGACTTTTTAGGCCAAAGTCTCCCCCTCGCCCATTTTACTGTATTGGCTGGAGGCCGCCAGGGGAGACTTTGGCCTAAAAAGTCTCCCCCCCGGGCATATGCCGTAAGAGGCGCGAAACTCCCACATATTATATATCATCTGAAAGCTCTTGATAAGAAGAATTCAACCTATGAAGTCGCAACATGATTCATGCAGTTCTGGAGAAGTTACGAGCTGTTGAAGTTCAAAAAGCTGTTTTTTACCTGCTTTTTCAAGAGCCTGGATCTCGGCGGTGCTTTGATGAATTGGTACGGGTAAGATATATTCTAGTAGGGCAAACCTTACCCTAGAAAACCTATGAAGTCGCAACATCACACATCTTCACAATCAAGAGTTTTAGGAGTTCAAATGTCAGCAGTCAAAAATTAGCCTAAAATCGCCTAATTTTTCAAAATTCTCGTTCTCAGCGACCACTGCTCAAATCGACCCGATTCTTTCACTATCTGTTAGAGCAACACTTACTCTTCAAAACCTATGAAGTCGCAGTTGCTGACATCTTCAACCACTTGGTTTATGACAGTGGCAATTTTGCATGATTTCTGGTTATTTTTTCATTCAAAATTCTGGTTCTCGGCAAATACTTCCTGGATCGACCTACTTTCTTCGCAGTACGACATAACTAAATTTACTTAATAAAATCTGTAGAGTGTCGTTGAGTTTCACTTCAAAATACACCATTTCATTGACACGTTTATTTCGAATATTTATGCCGCTGTGTTCATCGTATCTGTGGCCCTAAAGAGGGCCGTTGGGTCAATTGTTGGCCCTAAAGAGGACCGTTTGGTCATAGCTTTTTAAATCGAAATTCGTCCCGAAGCTATCTTCTCCGATTTCGTGGAAAGGCGGAAAAGTGGATGCGTCCATGACGGTGATGGCCTTCGCTTCCGATGGATGACGGCGAGTTCCTAAAACTGCAATACATATGTATATGCCTACAATAATCCCTTTTGCGTTTGTTTTACTTATTTTCCTTCTTTATATTCAACAAAAAAATTTTTGCAAAAGTGAAGGTGGTCACTCTGTATCAGCTCAAAAGTGAAGGTAGGGGGAGACTTGGCTCCCCCTATCGCACCTCTGGTTATGATGCAAAGATGTTACTGATTTTTTGAAAATAGTGCGAACGAACTTTCGGACCAACCTAATATATATATATATATATATATATATATATATGTATATATATATATATAACTCAAAATTGTGAGTTTGGAGGCTATGTGCGTTATAGAATCGCGCGCCGCTCAACCGATTCGGCTGAAACTTTGCACATGTACGTTTTCGACCCCTGCGCAGATGATAGGCTACTTTTTGCGGCGATTCGTTGGGTCCTTCTATCGATTTATTAATATGTTTACGTTTTCCCAAGGAATTGAAGGCTTATCATGTTTAATCAGGCATTTTTACAATATCATGTAAAGAAGGGCGGTGAAGCTCATTTTCACCTCAGGATCACGGGTTGTGGTTTCGAAGCGGATGTCCCAGGGTACGTCATCCATAACATATAAGGGGGGGGAGGGGGGAGTCGCAGCGCAGGTGAACTATGGCCCGGGCTGGACCGGAAAAGCCAACTAGTAACTTATAATAACGGGCTAAGGGTGTTTACGTGTTTTTGTCTGTGTGTAAGTTGTCTGTCTATCACGAAATTTGTAGAACGTGTTCCAGCCAACCTCCTGAGCCCAAATTTTGCATAGCGCATGCTACCAACATGAAAGTCCACTGTACAAAAGCACGAGCGGCTCCGTTTTGTGGATTCCTCAAAAATCGAATTGGATCCACTTGGCTTTTGGCTAATAAAATTGAGCCTGTACCACCAGTTTTGCGATGCCATGGATATGTTTGACAAGCTAATGTGGAAGCCATAGACCTCAGCCCAAAAAACTGAACTAAAGTTGGCTACTTTACGAAAATGGCGCCAAAAAGAGTTAGTTGCGTAGATGTTCGTTTTGCCAAGGTTTCACCTGATCATTTGAGAAGATTTTTGCACAGAGATGTAGCACATGATGTTTATTGTCTTTGTGGCAACTACCAAGCCATAAAAATTCCAAAAACCTACTCAAATTTGCATCTGTTCTTCCGAAGAAAATTTCATCCAGGCGAAAGTACCGATCTCACACAAGGAACCTCTAGGGATGAGTAGTTGTTTACGAATCATTCGTGATAGCTTATATAGCGCGGTAAGTTTCAGTGCCATTATTATGCGGAAATGAGCAAGGCATACAGCAATAGGGCCAGTGCGAGCCTCTGCGAAGCAGAGGACGCATTGGTAATGAATACTACAATATTCTTTGTATACCTTCGAAAGTGAGTATAGAGGTAAATCGCAAGCTTTTCCGATTTGGCATATGCTAGCGTTAGATCGGCTTCAAGCAAATGCCGCGGCTGGTATGTATATATATCTTGTTGCCCGCACGAAATCTGAAATTCCAATATGACAGAACTTTGGCTTATATCAAATGCAGAAGCATGATGTCCTTGGTAAGCTCTGCATTGACAGGCGCATACCTAAAGCTGCAAGAAGCTTTTCTATTTCTGCCGTGTTCTAACCAACATGAGAGCGCTTTTGTTGAGGCATTGCGTTTATTTCCGTTAAAGGAATCTCGTCAGCCTTCGTGTTGTATTCGAGAATAACAGTTTTTAGGTAAAAGACTTCAAAGCCCATAAAAGTACGTCCGAGGCAGGAATGCGACATTATCGTTTGTGATAAGCCGAAGGTGTTCAGAGGGCAATAATTTTATATCACCTGTATAGTCTGTCCCACTCCTAGTCGGGCCAAATTCGGCTTGGCGAAACCCCGTTCGCGAGGGTTTTCGTCATATCTACGGCTAGGTTCTCTGCTCAGCGCTTTGCTCTCTCGACAACGCGCTAGCAGCTCATCCCTATCGCTGCAACGCACAAATTTACGCCAACGGTTCGGCTTGATCTCGACTGTATGTAAATTAGCTTACGCGATGCTTCAGTACTCATTGTTTTTTAAACACTTTTTATAATTAATCTCACACTTCTAACAACTCCCGAATTTGACGGGCGGGAGACGTGTCGGCCTAAGTAATCATGTTCTTTGTTCTCAAGCTACTTTCCTGACATGCAGTAAACACTATGTACACACTAGGATACATTGAAAAATCTTACATGTAGAGAGCAGAGGATAAGGCGGAAGTGATATGGCGCTTCGAAAACTTTCCTAGAAAGCAACTCCAAAGTTCTTTTAATGGATCATTGCCAGTGCTGCTCTTCGATGTGGTGCAAGCCTTCGAAAAGCTGTGTCTTACAAAGCAGGAGAGGGGAGAGAAGCTGTTTCTAGGTTGCAACAACCTGTGCTTAATTCTTTTGCCATTAACATCTGAAAAAAGCACATGTGAATGCGTGTCTAAGCTAGAACTATTGCGCGAATTTCAGAAGAGCCATTATATATTCGACTGACTGAACCAGCAAAAGCATTCGTCATTAACGCCGGTCGACATGGTTACTACCGTCAAAATTATGGTAAACAAGGCTGGAAGAAAATAGCCGAACAGTTGAAAGCTAATCACAAGGTATGTGGACGAATTGGTGCTAGTTATCACTCATGGTTCATTGATGATGAGTTGATTGAATAACTCTTTGCACCTTGCTATACTGTCAAATGACAAACGACCACCGCTGCTTAATGATGGCGCTCTGATCTCAGGCATAAAACGATTTTGAAAGTGGGAAACGGTAAGACATGGAACATACGGATCTAATTCGTATCTATCTCAGATATAAAACAGATTTTGGGTTGTGACAAAATTTGCAGTTTTTCCCACGTTTGCTGTGTTTCCCAACGCCTACTCCCAGTCCTTTGGACTTTAGAGTATGCCGTAATCGCAGAAGACTTGCCGATGGCGCACTGTGTCTAACCTAGACACGGCAATGGATTTTGTAAATACTTTTCCATTATGTACGCCCAGAAATGACATGCTGATCAATGCTGTATACAATGTTTCACTCGGTGGGATTATAAGAAAAGTCTTAGCCAGTAGCTCCCTGTGCAAATTTGCAAAATCAAAGGTAAGGAAGGTAGGTGGTACCTCGCCACAACCCAAAACGAAGAAACGAAAAAGTGACAAAAACCCCTGGACGCAACGCTGCATCTCTAAGCAACTTAATTAAGAGAAACGAAAAGCACGTTCCAGGTCTCTTAACACTAAATGATGATGAACAAGAAATGACTGAGAAAAGAGAGCAAAGTTTGAAGTTTGGGCGATTCAGTTAACTGCATTTTTTGTATGCAAAAATTTTATTAGAATGATGCATAATTCCTGCCCAAAATAGGTACAGACCGCAATAATTTGGAATAATCCTATATCCTAAATAGGATTCGAAATATCACTAGATACAGCAAGTCTAGCTCTACAAGATAGTGCTCAAATACCTGCACCAGCTTTGATCCACGGAAATTTTTGAGCAAAACTGAAAAAAACCATGCGTTCGAAAACCTTAAGACCAATCAAAACAAAATCGTAACTTCGTTCAAAAAGCTCCTACAAAATTTCTCTATTGCCCACGCGTAGACATTTCACGTAAGACATTTATCTATGCGGTTGCTGTATTTTTTCTCAGCCAGACGATGAGAGAACAAAGTTCTTCATGTTTTTGCCAAATTAGTGCTGAGATGTTCTAGCACTAATAGTTGTATAGTACATGCCGTTAGCAGTAAAACTTTATATTTTCAGCCTTCTAGAACTGCAAGTTCACGAGAAATGACGAGTCTAGCTCTCCTTACTTGAATTTTTCTTGCCTAGTTGCCAAAAAATGCGATATTTCTTGTAAGTCAGCTGCCGTAAAGAGCTCAAAAATTCACACTCACTCTTTTATACGATTGTCAGTGCTGCCTGTCCCGCATTGTTTTGGAAAAAACATGAAAAGTTTGATTTTCTCAATTTCTAGCTGAGAGAAAAATACAGCAACTGCATAGAGAAATGTCTCATACAAAATGACAATGCACGAGCATGTTAAGAATTTTGAAGGATTTATCTGAACGGACTTCCAATTTTTCCTTGGTTTTTTGGGGCACTTGGATCTTTTTCGTTTTTGGCTTCAATCTTCGCTTGTATCAAAGCTGCTGCAAATATTTAAGCACTATCCTGTAGAGCTAGGTTTGCTCTATCTAATGATATGTCGAATCCTTTTTGGAATAGAATTATTGCGATTATTGCGGTCGGTACCTATTTTGGTGCAGGAATTATGCATCAACCTAATAGCTTATGTAGCGATGTCTGTAGGCCGTCTCCATCACGGCGCCCGACATAAGAGAAGAGACATTTGCAAATGAGAAAGAGGATGCTAATCCAAACGAGTATTCGGGGAAACATGAGCGTAAACATTAGAGTTGATGAAAGGGCAGTTTGTGGAACGAGCTTCATATTGTATTTAGCTTTATTCGATTTGATGTGTCAGTCATTCAAACGTAAAATTTTTATTCAGATATTTAACATATTCACAAGAAATGCAATCATCAGCGATGCATTTGCGGCAGCACTTCTGAATAAGGTTTCGTATGATACTATATTCTCTCTCCTTGGATATTTGAAAGATGAAGAGGTGAGGAAGTCCTTCCTATACGTAGTAACAAAATCAAGTCACCATCTATTTATGCCATCAACTTTTTTAATGCGATGCTTTGTTTTTCTAAACACTAAAGTAACGAATATGTACTGCTCCAAATTTGATAGAGCGCATGGGCAACTCGTCAACACTGCCACTAGTTTTTTGATCAAATGCTTAGCAGCTTAGCAGATTTTTAAACTGAAAAAGGCTTTTTCTCAACGTTGGTAGGTACCTTTCAGTAAACCTTTCAGTAACCTCACATACAACTTAATTCTTTCTCCAGTTTTCGCTTTCATCGAAATCAAGCCGAGCGAATGAAAACTGTGTGCGCCAACCTCTATATTTGTATACATTTTGTGACAACTTGAAATGATATATCAAAGTGGAGCCCATGCAGTGTTCATGGACTCTGTTGAAACATACATGTGGATCATTGATCAATTTATGGCTAACATCTTTGTAGGATTTCTTGCCATGGAAAGCCGCAATTGTTAGGTTTGAAGATATACTGCAATACTTTGGCAACGAACAAGAGGCAAAGTATGCCAAGGTAAGCATTTTCCACGGTCATCCCGAAAACTATGACTCTCATTTGCAGCAATTTATGCTTAAACTGCTGGAACCTATTTATCAGAAGAGCAAAGATCTCAACAAGTTCGAAAGCAGTTATAAACAGGAGCGCAAGTTCCTGAAGAAGTAAGCATTTGTGCAGCATCTCCATGTTGTTGCTTTGCTACTTCTTACTCTGAATGCTCTGCAAGACATGTTGTTCAGCCGTGCATTATTCAGGCGTACTGAGGGAAGGGGAGGAGTGGCGGAGAGGAGAGCGTCTCGCTTTCACGAGGTGGCAAAATTTTGAAAAAAAAATGGCAGTTGACTTGTGCATTTAAGCTTGTCGCGCGTACTGCCTTTCTCTTTGACACCTGATAGATGTCTTCAGTTTTGCATGCTTGTTATGCCGTTGTAGAAGCGGTGCTGGCAGATCGTGTATTACTAGGCTCTTAAGTCCTAAATCCGAGAGTTTCGCAAAATTTAGTTTTTGGATTCGCATACTTGCCCACGCAATTTGGGTTGTATGTATGCCGCATTTCCAGGGTTTAGACACTGCTCTTTGTTTTGAAAGAAAAATAGGAGCATCAAAAACAATATCTAAGGTTAAAAAACTCGAAATATTTATCCAGCAGTATTGGAACCGCTGGCACATACAAACACCCGCCATTTGCAATGTTCGTCCACATGGTATTTCCGAACATGCATGCATGTTGGAAGTAGTAATAATACATCCATGGACTTGGAAAAACTCCGCGGCATATGCTCAGCACATTGCCAACTGCACAACAGTGGAATCACTGTAACTAGTTTCTTTTGGAACTACGTACAAAGCAGTTTATGTCATGTTGCCGGTGCAAGCGATTAGCAGCGTTTCCAGTGTATGCAGCGTAAGCAATATAAGCAAATCTTAGCTCTACTTCTAAATGTTTTTCTGTAAAACTACAGTGCTGCCATTAGACTGGAAGAAATATATTGTTGCTTTTTTGTTTTTGATGCCTACCGTGCATTTTGGGAACTAGGATATTTAGAAGGGCATGCTTTTATGATCGAGTTTTGAGCTCTCTATTACATTAGTGTTTGTGTAGTCAGCCATTCAACTCAAAATTTCTATTGAAAAGACGACAAATCTGTTTGGGAGAGGGAGGGAAGGAAGCAAGAATTACTTTTGAATAAATTTTTGGGATGTTTTCCAAATTTGATATTACTTCCCACAAGTGAGTATCCTATTATCACAACTTCTACGTGTTACTGAGGTACATTGAAGAGCTTGCTGCCCTGTGTGCATGTGCTTTTCACATCTAGATTCAGTTGCGTAGTTGCTCCATTTTCCTCATGGCTAATAGTTGAGGAACAAACATAGCAGAGCAAAGTACGAAATGCCTGCTTTCTAAAAGTTTTCTGCCTAAAATTTTACAAGTTATGGCTAGAAAGTTCATAGGGATCCGCGCAGAAGTTTGGACGCCGTCTCCCGGAGCTGGAATTGCTCTATCGAATGGTACTCTCAGGTCCACCCTGTGAACGGTGAAATCTATGAGACAGTCCATTACTCTTTTTTCACGACAAAAAGTCTTATAGCCTCTGAATCTGATTGTGAAGACAGGGCTTTTGTGACCTTTCTGTTGTGGTCCTAATCTGTATATCTAGTCCTTTTTAATCGATTTGTATGTGCTAATTTGGTGTTCTAATTGTTTTGCATCATGTTAGTGAGTGGCACACATTCGAGGAGCCTACACATTTTCTCCGCTAGCTATATAAGGCGGCTTGGGGTAGCTCAAATAAGTTTCGACGTCTATGTCACGAGGAGTGCGGCAAAATAAGGATATATAATCAAACCCTTAGACTACACGCCAAGCCTTTGCATCAGCGCCAACCGCAAGCTTCTATTGTTACAAATTTTTTCAGGTGTATGAAAGTTTAAAATATTTTTTCATGGAAGCACGTAAGCTTTTATACAGTCGAGTAGATTTAGCGCTAAATATAGTGTGCTTGCACAGAAAGTGAAATGCGGTAAAATTTGCGCGTGAAGAAATAGTATCGACTGTGACGCCGGCCAATTGCGCGCGCAAGGTACCCGCAGTACTGGCGTGGCTTCCTGTCACGCGCAAATTTCACCGCACTTCACCTTCTGTGCAAGCACACTATATTTACCGCTAAATCTACCCGACTGTACTTCTTTCTCAAATTGCAGTCTTCTTTATGAGAACGTGATCAACACCGTATGTTCTCTTGGATCGAGAGAATGTAGATCCAATTACAAAAAATTATTTGATGAAGAAGTCATGGCGTGTAAAAATGGTGAGAAGGCAAGCACATGTGTCAGGTTAGTGATGCCTTGTAATTGTGTTGCATGCTTTATTATAGTTTTTTTTCAAATTGACAAACTAGAAATGAGTCAACTGAGCCTTAAGGATTGTTGCTCCACTTCGTCGCGACACTTATTGCTATGGAATTGTAGAGGGGAACGATACAGCCTTCAAAAAGGTACTAAACTCATTTACCTTAATATGTTAGTATGCCTTCAAAAACGAATTTCATTCTGTGTTTACAGGTATCAAAACTTTGCGAAGTTGAGACAATACAAATAGAAAAAGATAGACTGCTGGAGGCTTTGGGCTGCAGCAGACATGCTCCTTCACTAAAAAAGTAGTATCCTCAATTTCTAGATCGAGACTAATTTTATGGAACTTTCTCTGAGACTTTTAGGCTCATGCTGTTGTCCGTTACAAGGAGGTTGCCATATGTGCGGCTCCAAGACGTCATTACCATTTTTAGAAGCATCAAAAAGAACCCAGTAGGTCGCGAAGTCATGCTCAACTTTGTACTTGAACGATGGAACGATATATATGACGGGTTGGTGAAAAATAGTGCCTTAAACAACGACTTCCGATGATTTCAATGTCGGCTTAGGTTGATGCCTGAGCGTATCACTATCGGAGAAATCATTGAATTAGCTGCGGTTGGAATAAGATCACAATATCAGGTTGAGCAGGTGAATCAAATTTGATTTGGACAGCTTTTATTTACAACATCAATCATGCCCTTTTTGATTTTATAATTCGCCTCTGAAAATAACAGCGACAAGCCAACAAATATGACCGCCTTTGTCTGCGGCAAAGTCGTTGAAAGGCCTGAGGTAACCATACTTTATGCAATTTCAATCGCAATGCGATTGACAATGCATTAATTGCTCGTACATCGTAAGCTCATTCTGAAGGTACAGAGAATTAGGTTTTTTCTTTCAAATTTACAGTAGTTTTATATATAAGCTCATTCTGAAGGTACAGAGAATTAGGTTTTTTCTTTCAAATTTGCAGTAGTTCTATACACTACGCATTTGAAGCAAGTGCTGCCATCTGAAGGTATCTTACCACTTGCTAGATCACGCTGCGGCTTAAATCACATGCGGTATAATATGTTCAAGACCTTACTGGACTAGATTGGGTGGCAAAAAATTTACTGTTAGCGAATAAACGGACGGCGATCAGGCATATCGAACAACAAAGACAATTTCACTTGATATCCAGAGTAGTCAAATTGAGCGTGCAAGTCTGAATACCAATTCTTGGCAAACAATGTTACCAATGCAATATGGAAATTTGCCTACTTGGAAGTAGGGCTGCCAAGTGCATTATCGAGGGTCATGCGAGCGATCCAGCGGCTGAACAAGTGCATGGACAATCTATAGCTCGTCCATGACAGAACAGAGTATATTATGTCGGGAAATATGAAAATGTAGTAAAATGTGGTCATCAATATGATGATCAATGACATTACTCGTTTGAATAGACCATGCGGTAACAAGAAGTTATAGGCTCCGTCCAAAGTGTCGGAGCCGTGCCAAGGCTGGTCTAATGCTCCGGTAGCACGCCGACAACGCCGTTTTTTCTTGGCAAAGAATTCTATTAATAGTTTCTGGCTTGGAACGAGTTCCGCTGTATGCCACGCACTCAACGAAATGACCTTTGATTGATGGTGTCTCAATTCTGTTTCAACCGCTGCAAGGTACCATCTTGGTGTTAGAGCAGGTCGAAGTCCAACGAAGAGATCAAGGACAGGGCCCTGCGGGGGTGGCGCTTTGACAAGCTGGATATCGTTTTTGACCCGAAAAATCAAAGGGAAGTCGTATTTTGGGCGGAGCCCCGGACCCCAAAATACGACTTCTCCTTTGTTTACCGATAAACAATGCACATATCATTCTTTATTCATCATTCCTTGTTGATGCTACTGTCCTATGAACTTAGATTCCAACAATGTGAAGATTCTGTGCTCCGATCGCTAGCCTGCCCGCAGGCGGGAATTCAAATCGCAATTCTTGTAAGAGGAAAATAACAAAATAGGCTCGTTTTCAATGCACAAGTAACGATATGGCACCAAATTTGCTGTGTAGTTGGAGGACCATGAGCACAAAAAAGTATGAAGAATTATGAGAAACTTATGTGAATTTAAAAAATGGTAAGTGTTTTTCGAAATTAAGTGGCTCCCGCGCCACCTGGGAGCCACCTGGGGTGGCTCCCTGCTCCCCTTCACATAATTTCCCGGATTTCTTTACATAAATGTGGACTAGGTCGAGAGTATTACTATATGTTCAAATCCGCTTCCAAAACCACCAAGGCACCGCTTCGATACAGCCCCAAATAGGGTTCACAGCGTTATGATCAGCCTCGGAAAGCGCGCTCCAATCGCAATCGGTTATTGTATTAGGTTGGTGAGAAAGTTTTCGGACATTTTCACGCGAAATTTGCTATTTCTAGGATTGTAGTGCATCTACAAACGAGAAAATTTGTAATTGTACTTTCACATATACGCGGCTTATACCTGTGCAGGTGGGAGGAGCTTAAGTTCAGTAGGGGGCGGAGTTTGCCACTTTTCGATTATCTCATTTTTCCTGCTAATTAAACTCAAATTCTATACAGACTTTGCATACATGTATGTGAGTTCATGTGTACTATATTTTGGAATATTTGTGAGTGTTACAATGTTTACGGAAGATGGAGTTCTGAGCTCTGTCGAAATCCTATGTCTTCGAATTTTTGCCTCTATTTTCACAGGATTCAATAGTCATAGTTGTGATTAATATGGTCTCGTAGTGTTTGCTTTCCTCTATCCAATGATGTACAGCATTCCCTATTTAGTGCATGCATCGAAGCAAAATCTTTGTGTAAAGGCGATGTCCGAGAACGTTCTTACCAACCTAATAAATTGTAAAGTTTCGCAGCTGACTAATAAATGGGTAGTATCTTAGATATATAAACGTCAAAGTTTGTGCAAATCTTGACCCTATGTTTTTTTATAGATTCCTTGCGGATGAACCCATTGAGCTGAAACCTTGATGACCCGGGCTGGACCAGGAAAGCCAGTAGTACTACTATAATAAGCGCTGAGGACACCATCTTATTACTTGTGTATATCTGTTTGTCAGGGACTTACGGGGTCAAAAATAGGGTAGGGGAAGTCGTAAGAAATTTTGGCTTCAAAGGGGATATTGTTTCAAAATTCTGAAATGTCACCTCCTACCGGATCAAGGACCGGGATTCCCATACAGTGCATAGAGAATACTAAGTGATTAGTAGGATTGAAAGGTTGGCTGCATAAAAGTTACATTTATATGGTTAATGATGTTTGATTGTTTCCCCTCTTTCTAGCTGCTCTGCTTCATAGAGGTAAGTGGACAGTCGCAATGCAATGTAAATTTCACTTTTTTCAACGTTGGTTGTAAAAAATTTAATATAACATAAGCGCACCAAACCAATTGAAATTTCAAATATTACCGAGCACGTTTAAACGCTTATCGTCCCAAATATCAAAATTAAAAGTCGGGAGCAAGTATAGGCGCACTTGTGCGCATGACAGTCATGATTATTTTACGCGCACACAAGTAGAAAAAAAATCTGTATTAAACATTGTCGTAACTTACCAGTTATAGCCTAAAGACTTTTGGTGCCATTATCGGGTCTAATCATGGTAGCTTCCAAAAACTTTAATAAGAAATTTTACAAAATGCGAAAAAATTTGCATTTGCAAAATGTGGGATTCATCTGTTTTCGTTTCTCAAAAGCCGAGGTAAAAGTTTTGAAAATTCGCTACACTTAAGTAAGGTAAAGCTCTTGGCGTTTAGTTGATAGATTATTGGAAGAATCCATACAGCTGTAAAAATGGGAAGTTGCTTTCGAATATCTCCTAAGTTTGCCTATATGTAGTAGTTCAACATCTCCGACTTAAATAGATAAGTCCAGTAACGAAAACGACGAAAAGGCGTAAAAGCAGCACAGGTCTACAAAGGTCTCAGCTTTGAGAGACTCAGCTGCCTAAGATTGAAGGAATTTAATTTTGAGGAGAATTATCCCATATTCCTTCAAAAAAGATGTTTGAAGAGAGTGGGTTGGGTACATATGCATCGTCTATATTTATGAAGGTTTGCTGCCTTTATCCTCAAAACTACTTCTAACATTGAGTAATTCCTCGATAGTAATTTGGAAGTTGCTAAAAAGCAGTGGCTTTCGCGTGATTGTAATGACAAGCCTATTCGACACACTTTCTTCAGCGCAAATATTTCTTTTTTAGTTGAAATCACTGAGGAAACATGGCAAGCATGCTAACGAATTTGGCAATTTCAAAAAAGCAATAGAGGATTCTGAACACCAAGTCGAATGGATCAGCAGACATTTTCAGAACTTGTCAGCTCTTTTTAAGGAACTTTCTCAGTAAAGCACAGCTGGCAGAATAGCTTTTACTGCGCCTTTAATTCTTTCGTAAATTTGATAGATGTATTTTTTGAAGATTAATGAAGTGTCTTTATCGTTTGACTGCGTTACAAAAGCTTTAGCAAACAGTGTTTACAAAACTTACTTTGAAAAGTCTATTTAAACTCGTTGACGAGACAGAACAGCCGTTTGTGTTCTTAAATAATAGTGGATACTTCCGAGCTCCTTGTATGGCTGGAGATGCCTAACCCAACACTGCTAATCGTACTACTAAGGTTGACAAATATGATGTTTGCCATTTTATCTATGCTCGCACGGTTCATATGTTTACGTAACATTTTTGAATGCCCTTGTGGGCTTTTGGATGAACTTTTTGTTTTCTTTCTTTCAAAAAATGAACATTCAGTCTGTGATCAACACTATCTTTTCCGGTTTGCTGTGATAGGCTTGACAACAGTCGCCTTCATCTGTCGCAGCTTACCCGTGTACATTTCTATGCATGCAAATTCGAAATTCAGGAGCAAATGAAGTGTTTTGATTGAACAAGTGAAGACGGAAAAAAACACCGAGCCAAGAACGAACGCTGAAGCTTGTGCACTCGCAGACGTATTCGTCAACTCATATTAGTTAGAAGCTTGATGGTTTATGTGCAAGGCCCCAGCAAAGATTATTCTATCCCGTTTTTTGGTCCATTCCTATGCATAAGACCCCCCATTTCGTTGGGGCGTGTTTCACTTTGTTTTAAGCTGTTCTTTCCGCAACCTGAATGACCCACTCTTGTAAGTTTTGCTGCGAAATCTGCTGAATCGCGAAAATGGAACATTTTTTTACATATCGTAGCAAGCTCTTACAAAATTTGACTTGTTGTGTGAGCCCTTAGTCTGTTGAGTCAGTGTTTTGTGGTAATTATTAGGATACTTTGAACATTGAATTTCATGCGGTGCAATTATGCACCATTTAGCCAAGAAGGCTGTATGCCTAAGACCGTGAACAAGTGGAAGATCCGTCAAAATTTTCGTAGACTAAGTCTACTTTTTCCTCGACTATTCGAGAATTGGAAGTTCTTGGCTTCAAAATTCACATCACATGAATCAGAGTTGTTACAAGTCTTTGAACATTTATTGTGGAGCTTATTTTGCTCTATCTGCACTGTAGAAGAGATACGACTTGATGCGGTTTTGACTTCTGGTGCATTTGTTTCCCTAATAGAACAATTAGATAGCACGAGTTCATCCAGTAAGGCACAGTAAAGTCGCCTGCACGAAATCGCCCGGAATGTTGTAGGCTGAACGCACGCGAGCGTGCCTGCAACGCGGCTGCCGAGTACGGGCGCTATATGACTCATGCGCGCGAATGCCAACGTTAGCCCGCAAGAGACACGCGCGCGGGTGCTCATTCCGGGCGATTCCGTGCAGTCAACTATATGAAATATAACCTGTTTTGCTAGTGTCCTTCTATAAATAAACAGCCTCGTCAAGCATTTTCTAAGATTCAGTTCTGAATGTAGATGGGAAAACCAAATTCAGTTATACTGAATCGTATTGGCGGAATAGCACGGACAAAATCGTCAAAATTCTTTATATCTGTTTACAAGTAGACTCCTAACTTTCGAAGAACATGCCATTGAAAATATAGAGTTGGAGGAAATAGAGTTGTATTTGGAACAGTCATAAATGTGAGTTCTACAGCGTACTCAAAGAAAATAAGTGGTACAGAAGTCTTCTACCTTGAACACGTCGGACCGGTGTTGCACACTATGCCTCTCGCGACTACTAGTAATTTTCTAGACTTTTAGAGGATGTTTTGCTATAGTCCAAGCAAACCTGGCGAAGGCTTAAGTTCGTACCTTTTAAATAAAATTGTGAAATTGTGGCAGTTACTTTGAGGAGATTTTATTGAAAATCGAATCACAGCTGCAACCGATCCGGCAACGCGAACGCCTGCGATGTCGCAGCTTTTATCATTTCCGAGAAAGCAGTGCATATAACAATGATTTGTATCGTGCGCACCATAGGTACTTTTGCTTACCATTTATCAAGATATTGTTCTTATCTTACAAGAAAACAGCAGTCAGGTGTACAAGACATTTCGATTTCATTCGCGTACTCTGGGTACGGAACTGAGTCGATATGTTGACTACAAATATAGTAATGTGCACGAAATCTGTTCTTTTTGGCTAACGGTTGAAGGTACAGGCTTTTTCATGCGATTCAGGGTCGGAATTGTGCTAAATTTTGAAAATGTTGACTCACTATTGCTACTACAGAAAAATAGGTCAGAAAGTTGACGAACGACTTTTCCGCCAATCTCATACTATTCCAGTATTTCCATAATATAGATAGTTGCGTGTGACCTTGGTTATGTTTGTTTCTAATACAGGAACCTGCAGCAGGCACCAATTTGGAGAAAGTTTGGCCGATGCGACGGATATCACTACATTTCTCACACATTTGCCTCGTTTATAAAAAAGAATCATCATTTCTAAATAGCAGATAAGCGAAACGAATTACTGTCAACATATATTAGGTTGGTGCAAAAGTTTTGTCATTTTTTTCAAATCAACGGCAAACACGCTAGAATGAAGATAAACAAACACTTCAAAATGTATCCGATGCAGAATTTCTTCCCCTTTCCAGCTGCTAAAGTCTCACTGTGTTTCGTTGCGAGAGTGACGAGATATTTGCTGGAAATTACAACCACTCGTTTTTACCATGTCCGAAATTCGCTAATTTTCAAAATTTTCGTATGAGACTTTCAAAGGAGCCCTAATAACCAGCAGATAGAACAGACCTTTTGCCAACTAGTGCAATTTTTTGTAGTCCTACGGCTTGTTTTTGAGAATTTCTACGATTTATTTTTTGAAGTGAACAAATTCTACATTCAGCCTATTTTAACCTCTTAGAACATGAAATGTTGAACACTTCAGTCACCATTCGATGCAACTTTTTCTCCTCTTTCTAACGCTTGTCTTTTTTTCGCCGAGAGAGGCGAAATTTGTGGAAAAAATCGCATATTTCTCAATTTTAGGGGTGCGCACTGACGTAACCTGTTTCAAAATCTTCATAAATTGAACCGAAAATCGCACATTTATTGGGTTGTTTCAAAAGTTCTACCCGTTTTCGAACTTTGACTTTGATTCACCGTAACTCTTCTCAGAAATAATCTTTGCAATTGCTATGAACTGTATTACAATCTGCAAATCTTTTGCTATTCTGCGCACTCTTCAAGATTATTGCATTAACAGTGGAGAAGATTTTATAGGCGAAAACCGACGAACATCTCCTTATAGAAACCTTCACTTTGCAAAAGCATAACTTGATTTGGAATATAGCTTAGTTGCACAAGCACTGCTCAAAGTGTAGCCCATAGTCAACTGAGTAGTACTGCTAACTTTGGATTTCATCAAACTCTTTCATAAAAATTTTTTGCTGGAAAATCCGAAAGGGCCCACTTATTTTGCTCTTTCTGAGGCGGCAAAAATGCAGTTTTTTGACATTTTTCATTTTGTTCGCCGTTGACAAACCAGGAAATCTTTTCGTTCTTCTAGTAGCAGTCGTTCTAGCTCTAATCTTGCTATATAGAGCAAAAGTTTTGCGATTGCAATAAGTTTATGGTTTTTATGCGGCTTGAAGGGACCATAAAGACAGGTTATGTTTGAGCTAAAAATTTATAGGTTCAAAGTTTTTTTGACATCATATCTCGATGAGCGTTTCGTGGCACAAGTCTCCAGCAAACATTATGTATGTTTTGAAAGAAATTTTTTCTTTTGGCTGTAGATTTCACGGCGATAGAGCAAAGACGAAAATTTTCACATGCATTTCGCTGTCATTTCAAAGTACGCAACCGTCAGCGAACAAAGATCTACGAAAACAAGAATATGTCTGAAAAACTAGAAGAAAAGAGCTTTTGAATGATGTAAGCATTGTTTATGGAAAATGGTTTCTTCCTCCAAAATCGGCAGTTCAAAAAAGGCATCGAAAACGGGTAGAACTTTTGAAACAACCCAATACTTTGTAATGGTCCCGGTAGTAATAATCAAGTGTTGAAGCCTCAGTATTATGGAGATTTTGCAGTGCTTGGTGCAATAACAGGTTATGCAATTTTTAGAAAACATAACACTTTTAAATTATTTGACAAAGATCTGAAAAAGCAGCTATAAAAAAGGAAAAAATTGCATAAGTTGGCAAAAGGTTTGCCCTATCTGGTGGTTATTAGAACCCCTCCGAAAGTCTCACAAAAAATTTTGAAAATTAGTGAAAGTTGGACACGGTAAAAATGGATGGTTGCACTTTCCAGCAAATATCTCATCACTCTCGCAATAAAACACAATGTGAGTCTAACTGCTGGAAAGAGGAAGATTCTGCATTGGATTCATTCTGAAGTGTTTGTTTATCTTCATTCTAGCGTGTTTGCCGTTGAATTGAAAAAACTGACAAAACTTTTGCACCGATCTAATAGATACCTCATTGTTGAGGCAATTGTATCTCATTGTCAGCTTTATTCCCTTTACCCACACTCATGACTTTTGATATGTACTATTAAGAGCACCATCAAATGCTAATCACACTTCTTGCTAAGCAACCTCAGCAACAAGTTAAACTTTCAAAAGCGTGAACACAGTGACCAGTGTGCTTGGGCATTCAAATTTGAACATACAAACGTTTATTGCTTCTTTTGAAGAAATCCTGAGCAAATGTGGATAAATTGAAATCAGCTCACTGTAAGGCGCATCTGATCTTCTGAGCATTTCCAATCAGATGGTCCTTTTTCGGTATCTTTTTCCTGTGCTTTCTTTCTTTTTTTCTCTTCTTCTCTTTTCTCTTTGGCTTTTCTCCTAATACCTTCCCTATCCCAATCAACGTGGTTGTTGGGTTTGGCGTTAGTGAAAACACAACACATCCACCATTCTATCCAGCAGGCTTTCCAAGTGCTTGGATGTCCGTGTGTAGAATCATAGAAAAAATAAACCATTGTGCATCCAAGAAAATGTTCGGTGTTTACCAC